CGGGCGGCGGGGGGGGGGCCCTCACCTGCAGAGGGCGCAGGGCAGCTTCTCAAGGGGCGAGCGCCCGTCCTGTGGGAGAGGCAGGGGAGCCGACCAGGGGACAGGCGGCCCACACCCCCGATGCAGCGCAGGCTCTGGCCTGGAAACTCGACTGGCGTGGCGGGCAGCCTGCTCTGTCGTCACGCTCCGGGGAAGCCGCTGGGTGCCACGGCTTACTTAGTCTAGTAACCAAATGTTCACGACACTTTCCGAGATGCGTCAGCCCTGCCCCCATAGCTGAGGGGGACACAGGTCCGGGTTCCCTCCCCCTCTGCAGAGAACATCCTCTGTGTCCTTGCACTGACCTCCGGCCAGCCCACTGCTGGCCCGGGGTCAGTCCCACTGGTATTTTCGTCACTGCTGAAATCCTCTTGAAAGAGGACAAGGCATTAAAAAAAAAAAAAAAACACCACCACAAGAGCCAAGCACTGTGAACACAGGAGTCTCTTGATGCCTGAGCCCCATAGTGAGAGCCCGGCCGTCAGCGCTGGACAAGTGGGGACACGGGCTGGGGCTCACGCGGCCCTGGGAGCTGCCCTGCTGCTGGGCCGGGCGGTGAGCGCCTCATCCCTACTCCCCGTGACCGTGATGGCCAGCCCCCTGCGGGCCCGGCTCCCTCGACTTTTAAGGACAGGGGTTCAGGCCCAGCTTCTGAACATCGGTGAGCTCGGGTCTGGGAGACTAGGCGGAGAGGGGAGGCGGCTCACTGCCCTCACCTGGGCCACGCACCTGGGCCCGTGCGGCCCGCAGGCGGCCACTGGGTGAGGTGTGCGCCAGTGGGCGGGAGCGAATGAGGAGAAGCCTGGCGGGCTGGAGGCGGACCCCGGGCTCCGTGGCCCCCGTCTCACACACGCAGCGGCTGCTGCCGCCCTCCGCACCCTCACAGAGCATGACGATGTGACAGAGCAACGACATTCCTGCGCGAAAGCCTTTTCCCCGAGGCTGCGCGTCACCTGCGCCCTCCGTGACCTCCTCCATGGATCATGAACTTGGGCTGAATGAAAGGGTGGCATTTATCCCTGAAAAGCCACACGATTAAATAGAGAACTGGCCCCAAAGAAACCTCCCCTTGGGGGTGACATGTAACGGCAGAAGTGACTACCCACCTGCCCAGGGCCCCTCCCTGGGCCCTGCCCAGTGGGCTCCCCGCAGGTCTGCACGCACCACGCACTTTGAGTAAGTGACATTTCACTGTCACTGTCACCGAGGGTTGCAAACGGCTGGAAGCTCAAACTATCCAACACAGTGACTCTGGGAGCAAAAGGCCGACCTTCAGCCCCAGACCCGCAGGGGGCCCTCTGCTGTCCCCCCCGTGGGCGGCTGGCTCTGGGGGTGGGCGCGCCCAGCACAGGCCGCCGTCCGCAGCTGGCTGCCCCGGTATCAGCATCATCAAAGGCCGCGGGGCAGAGGGGTGAAGTGCCTTCCAACTTCCTGACATTAAAATGAATTTTAAGAGACCTTGATAAAACTAGTGCGTCCTGCTTTTTGATGTGTTTCAGTAAAAGAACATTTTCTTGCTAGAAGAGCAGGAACAGGCCTAGTTGAAAGCCGGGTTCTCTATTGTTATTTTAAAATAACTGGCTCTAAAAATCAAAAGGCTTCAGGATGGTTTGAATATATAAATCAGTTGCCTTCTACTGGTAAAATTTACGGGGGAGATTGCTTTAAACGAAGAGAGGAAAGGTGAAAAGCCGTGGACGCTTTGGGAAGCAAGTGGGTATTTGCTGGGGAACATTCATGCGTGTGGCTAACCAGCCAACCGGAAAGGAGAGATGCCACCAGGACCTTGGATCCAGGACCTGTGACTTAGGTTAAAATGAATACCATCCACGACACACAAAGGTTGTCAGGGGAAAATGGAGCCAGACCGGGTGCCCGCCCACCGGAGCCCACTGCCCACACCCCCGTTGCCAGCCAGCGGCCTGTCCTAGTGGACGGCCAGGGAGCCCGTGAGCTCAGGCCCGTGTCCCCATTTGTCCAGCGCTGACCGCCAGGCTCTCACTATGGGGCTCGGGCATCAAGAAAGTCCTGCGTTCACAGTGCTTGGCTCTTGTGGTGTTTTTTTTTTTTTTTTTTTTAATGCCTTGTCCTCTTTCATTGTGAGCCCATGCTGTGGACAGCCACGGGCAGGTGGCAGCACAGGCAGTGCCTCACAGGGAGCCGGGCCTGCGACTCTGGCCGCGGGTCCTACTCTCGGCCTCCGTGCCGGGGGTCCAGCCCTCCCCGTCCACCCCTGAGCTTGGCCATCGGCGGTGCTGTTCCAGAAAGCACACACCTGTCCTAGGGCTGGACTCGGCCACCCCCACTGGGCACCAGGTAACCCTCACCCTGCTGGGAGAGCGTCCTTGTGCTTTGCAAACCTGGAGAAGCCCCGTTTCGTCTGATGGGGTGAGGCAGGTGAGTCCCAGGGGTGGCACGAGAGCAGGGCTCACAGCTGTCTCTGGGTGTCCCCGCGTGGGCCCGGCGCCCCCCACGAGGCCCTCTGTGTCTGGAGAGCTTGGGCCCCGGGCACCTCCCTGCTGCAGGCTGGGCCGATGACCCAGGGCACTTGGCCTGCGCTGCCCGAACACCAGCGGCTCTCTCCTTGGACCTTCATGGTGACACCACAGCACGCAGCAAGAGAAAGCCAGGCCGTGGGCGGGCGGGCGGGAACCTCCCAGGCTCCTTTGATGGGGTCAGGAGGTTGGTATGTGACCCCATGTCCAAAGGCCATGGATGGATTTAAAGTTTCAGGAAGAGCACATTTCTGAAACTCAAGGCGGAACCTACAAATCAGGCCCGTCACGAACTTTAGGTTCCCAGCAGCAACCCCGGCAGCACCTCGCCCGCCCCGTCCCGTCTCCCCGAGGCTGGGGGGCTTCCTCCACCGGGAGTACCGGTGGGCGTGAGAAGCCCTGGCCGGACCGCACGGCGCTCTGGGCTGGAACGCTCCCAGTGGCCCGCCCTCCCTCGAACCCTGCGAAGTGCCCCATCCTGGTCCAGACCCGACCCCCTGAGCCCGGGCCGTCAGGCCACTGCGTCGAGCCCAGCCCTGGGCGTCGCCCGAGGGTCAGAGCAGCAGGAGAGCCACAGTGAATCGGGGCCCCATGCCCCGGCCCCCAAGATGGCGTGGTGACTCCTCCCCCAGAACTTGCCTTAGAACGCCCCAGAGACCTGACCGTCCGTGAGCAGGACACCAGTGAAGGCGTTCTCCCCGTAACCCACACGTGAAGCTGAGCACCTTTGAAAGACAGATCCTGAACCGTCTTCCCAAGAGAAACGGGTTCTGCCTTTCTGCCCACCTCCTTCTGGCCACAACCGGATGGTCTGGTCAGGCGTGTGACAGTCCTCCTAGGTGTGGGTGGCAGAGAGCGCAAACACCGCGGGGACAGCTGAGCAGAGCAGCCCTGGCCCTGAGCCGCGTGGGCCCCGAGCTGCCGGCTCCTGTTCTCCTACCTCGTTTCCCAGCAAAGCAGAGACGCAGGCTTCCGAGGCGTCGCAAATGGCTGTGAGGTCATGGCCCCCCTCCAGCGCCAGAACGATCCGGCCGCCAGCCAAGCCCATCAGCTGCTTCGTCAGGTACCCGAAACCTGCAAGGGAAACGAGATCCAAGTCGAGGGCAAGGCCGGGCCGTGGCGCCGACACCTGGCAGTGGATCAAAGCATCCAGAAGTGCATCACATCATGCTGCAGAGACCCAGGGGCTGGCACACGGAGACACCTAATGGAAGCCAGGCCGGACTGTAATAAATCCATTGAAGAATTTGGGTTTGGGATTCTTTCTGATCTCCTTGGGAATAGGAATTACGATTTAGGAGCTTTGATTTCACGATGCTGCAAACCATCCCGTTTGGGGGCAGGGAGGACCCCGGGGGGAGCCCCTCATCTCTCTCCTGCTGGAACCGCGGAGGCCAGGAGGCAAGCGCAGAGCAGGGCAGCTGCTAAGGCACAGCCACGTCCATCCCAGAGCCCGGGGGTTTCTGGGCAGCCGACGTGCCAGCACATGCGTGCACACATACACTCACACGCATCAGCACCACGTGTGCCCCTCCAGGGCTCTCGTACATCCGCGTCTGGGACACCAGGCTTTCATCGATAGCTGCAGTCCTTCCACCGCACCCATGTCATCCTCCCCCGGCAGAAAACGCCCGATGGGCAACGATATTACCACCCTTGGCCAGAACGGTCTGACGTTTATTAGGGAGCCAGGGAAAACGAGGCTGTGGGACTAGCCCCATCACAGGCTGGCCGTCGGCACAGCGGGCCTCGCGTGAGTCACCAGGGCTGCGTCTAGGAGACCCGGAAGAGCCCCAGGCACCTGGACCACGGCGACACCAGGGGGGGCCGGGCAGTGTGGCCGGCGGGGGCGGAGCTTTCATTTCTTTATGATTTGCTGTGACAGAGCAGAAGCAGAGGCCCTCCTACCCTTCGACTCCGAAGTAAACGGGCTGCCGGCTACGCCCGTATTCCCGGGTTTGAGGGTCTCCCCTCCACCCCCACCCCACGTGGGAAGGACAGGTCTCTCAGGAACACTGCGGACCCGGCCGCCAGCTGACACAGCGCCAGCACACGGGCCCCGCGCTGGCGGGCTGCACGACCTCACGCCAGCACGACCTCTGGGCAGAGACCCCCGTGGCGGCTTCCCGGTCTGCGTGGGCTGTTCACCCCGTGTTCTATGGGGGTGCCGGCGTCGTGCTTTTGGTAAGATGTAAAATGGCACATCTATACAATGGAATATTACTCAGCCATAAAAAGAAACGAAATTGAGCTATTTGTAATGAGGTGGATAGATCTAGAGTCTGTCATACGGAGTGAAGTAAGTCAGAAAGAGAAGGACAAATACCGTATGCTAACACATATATATGGAATTTAAGAAAAAAAAATGTTATGAAGAACCTAGGGGTAAAACAGGAATAAAGACAGAGACCTACTGGAGAACAGACTTGAGGATATGGGGAGGGGGAAGGGTGAGGTGTGTTAGGGCGAGAGAGAGACATGGACATATATATACTAACAAACGTAAGGTAGATAGCCAGTGGGAAGCAGCCGCATGGCACAGGGAAACCGGCTCGGTTCTTTGTGGCTGTCTGGAGGGGTGGGATAGGGAGGGTGGGAGGGAGGGAGACAAAGAGGGAAGAGATATGGGAACATATATATATGTATAACTGACTCACTCTGTTATAAAGCAGAAACTAACACACCATTGTAAAGCAATTATACCCCAATAAAGATGTTAAAATAAAAA